CATACTAAGTCTCTTAAGCCTAGGAAGGCTTCTCACACAATTAGGCAGGGAAACGATAGGATTGGCATCTAAATATAATTCTTCCAACATGAATAGACAACTGAAGTCCATGGGAAAGGATTCGGTAGACAAATTATTATTTGCAAGTGACAAACTTACTAAACATCTTGGTAAAGGAACCATAAAGAACTTGAAATCACTTGGTATAGCCTCAAGCTTTTCCGTTGAATCCATATTTTTGATCTCGTTATGAGATTCACCGAGACGAAATCCATTTAGCATGAAAATTTTAACCTTCTATAACATGGTTATGTTTCTTGGAAATTTTTTAAGCTTGTTGCAGTAGCTCACATCGATGAAGACAAGTTCAACACATTGCTCAATCGATTCACAAACTTCATGCAAACCAATGCAACCTCTAAGCATCAACCTCTCAATTTTAGGGAGCTGGTCAAAGCTACAAAGATTACGAAGTTGTTCACAGAAACTTAAATTAAGAATCTTCAACGATCCAAACAACCTTTTATCTTTTGAGCACGATCGAAGCATTTTCTGAAACAGGAGCAAGTTAAAATAGAAATCAATTTCATAAACTTAGCATGGAAAAGTAACTAATGAAGATAAGTTACCTTTTGCTTCCTCCGAAGCCGTTGTGGATTACCATAACAAACACCAAACGATTCCATATTGCTATATGAGATGTCAAGAGCAACCAGATTCTCCATCGGTAAGTCCGAAGGTATAGACTTCATAGGGAATCCATGCATACACAACCATTTCAATTCTTTTGGAAAATTCTTGTGAGATCCGGTTATTTGCACATAGTTAAGTTGTAGCAACATTAGACTATCCATCTTACTCAATGCATCTATTTCTAACTCAAGTGATTCATGTAACTTCTCTTTCTCGAGCATTTTGATGTCAAGGGTGAGGCCTAGAACATTTTCCGTACCCTAAAAAGAAAAAGGATGCAAAATTATTTTAAATTGTTATAGATATTTAATGCTTTATAAAATGTATACACAACTTCTTACCTTTTTTTGTTTCAACACTCTGAATGACTCATGACCCCATAATCGGCTTCGTTCCCATGGCTTGTAAAGTGATTCTTCACGTACCACAAATCTTCCCATCTCTTGAACCAACTGATGCATCATCAATTCCATAATCATCAATTCTTGATTCCATGTGATACTAAGCAAGCATTTGTCAGTAAGATTCGTGATCCCGGATCTTGTCTCTATATCACATGCATCTAAGATTGTTAGAGTAACATCTCTATCCATTCCAACAAAAATACAAGCAATATGCTTAAACAGCTCCTTATCATTTTCTGATGGCAAAGAGTCAAAGCTCATTCTCAAGACATTACTTATAGGGGAATCATTTTCTTTCTTTAGCCTGTCTATGTATCCCTCCCAATAAGTTACATCTCGATTATGTAGAGACCTACCCAAAACTTTTAGAGCCATTGGATGTCCTTCACAATACTTCACAATATTTTCCGACACCTCTTCATAACCTAGCTTCAGATCATTGCACATAAATGCATCATAACACAAAAGTTTTTGTGATTCAATCATAGATAAACCTTCAAGCTTGTGCTCCGCATACTTTGGTTTAATGTTCGTTTTGAATAGTGAACAACTATGTGTCAACCATGTGTCCTTTGTTGTTTTTATGACTTTACTTCCTGGATGCAAACCTTTGCTTCCAAGTAAAGCATCTAATTGGTTGAGACTGCCAATATCATCCAGAATTAGAAACACCTTCTTACGGGCGAATGCATTCTCTATCATTGAGGTGTATATAGAAACATCATGAAGTTGAACCGATCTTGATCTTGAAATGTCATCATAGAGTTGTTTTTGTACATCAATCATTCCATTATATTTTTCATCACATCTCCTACTGATATTTTCAATGAAGCTGCTTGTATCAAATTCATTAGAATGTAACACATAGGCTGATTTGGCTAAAGACGTCTTGCCGATCCCACCTAAACCCAAAATAGTGAGTACATCTGCCGTATGTGAGGATGTATCTTTCAACCATGAAGTGACGAATTTAATGGAATTGTCTATCCGAATAAGTTGTGGCAGTGGAAACCTTGATGATATGCGTAATTTAACGAAGATGTCCTTAACAATTTCATCAATAAGATCCACCTCTATCCTGGAATTGGATTCTAGTTAGAACCACAAAACACAATCACTACAAGAAAAAAGGGTATTAGCGGCGACAAAAATCGCCGCTATTGCTTACCAAAGTCGCCGCTAATACCTTTACCGGCGACACGTCGCCGCTATTGACTCGTCGCTATTGCTCAAAAATGTGACAATCCGAAATTTTTATCTTGTACACTTATTCAAATAAATGAAGATCGGACTCATTTTTACTATTTTCTAGCACGGTTGGGAGTCAATTAGAGTGTTTAAAGCGTAGTATAATCAAGGTATGAGTCGTGGGAGGAGCATTGTGGGTGTATCACCTTGCAATTGAGCCAAACACACCAACACAAGGTGTGTGCGGCCGCACACAAGAGTGTGCGGCCACACACCCATCCCAACCGCACACTCCCCCTATATATTCAAGACTTAGTCATTTTTGAACACTTTTCCCACTTCTTCAAAGCTAGAACTCGAAATCCTCTCAAGTATCATCCAAATCTTCATCTTGATCTTCATAAAAGGTAGTAATCTTTCCTTTTATTTGTTGATACACGACCATAACTAGCAAAACCTTTGAGTTTGATCCATGAAAACATCCATTTTTAGTCAAGAACACCAAGAACACCAAGAACACCAAGAACACACACTAGTTTTGGACCTTAAAACACCCTTTCAAGCCTCTATAACGTGTATACACTTATCATAACTTGTTATATGCTAAGAACACTTGATGATATGCTAGAAAAACATGATTTTATCATCTTCATAAAGGGTGTGCGGCCGCACACATCATGGTGGCCGCACACAACCCTTTTAGGTCCAAATATGACAATAAACTCCATATAAGGCTAAAGCATGAAGTAAGAAACCTTCCTAGTTGAGTCCTAAAGCCTTAAAATACGTTTTGGCATATTCCATAGGGAGTGTGCGGCCGCACACTCACCCTGGCCGCACACCCTGGCCGCACACACACAAATAGTGTGTATTTTGACCATACACTCCCTCGTATAGCCATATACCCCTTATATACAATCATATATGGTTGTAACACTTCAAAATAAGTGTTTACTAGTCCCTAAGGTGCTTTCAATTCAATAATTAGTTGTTATAAGCACTAATTATATTCATATATGTATCATTATATGTTAAATAGGATCCGCGTGTGTGTTCAAGTCTTCACTTGACACTTAGCATCCTATACAGTCCGTTCATCCAAACCACCCACTACAGGTGAGTTCATACCCCTTAATCAATCTTTTAAGTGATTTTAAATGCTTTAATGGGGGGGGGGGGGAATACAAGTAGAAAACAACATGTTATAGAATCAATCACATGTGATTTATAACTGTGTTTTCAACCAACTGATTTCACATACTTCAAAATGTGATAAACACAATGATTTTCAGTCCTGTTATACTTTGTTATCAAATGAATTACTTTTGAAAGGTCTTATAAAATGACAATCAAGTCATCATTATTTATTGTTCAAAACTCTTAAATGTTTTACAAAACCTCTTTCAACTTATTGTTAAAACCATATCTAAACACTTATGTTTCATGTATATATGTATTGATATGAGAGATTTCATTCTTCATTCAGTTCCAACACTCTTGGGTAGCAAGGGTGTATAAACCTACTTTGACACTCAACTTACATTCCAGTAAACTATTATAGGTATAGTTTAGGGGATACAAAACATTATTCCTACTACAAGGAATTACACCAGAGTCAGTTCATTCATGAGTCTATACTAATACATCACACACCATATGAAGAGATACTATTACATGGATACTTGTAGATAGATACTTTTGCGTAGATACTTTTACATGGATACTGTTACATAGATACCATATGATGAGATACATTTACATATTATATGTGTAGATACTATTATATATGTACGGGACTAACCATTCTACACCCAGCTGTTAGCTACAGAGGGAAAATGCAGATCGACGGATGTCTACGGTTAATACTATTCGGCATCTTCCATGTCGTGTTTATCCTAGTACCAAAGGATAATACTTAAATGATTATATAATTTCCCTTTTACTTTTATTTTGTGACACATTCACATAAACGATGAGGTAGACTATATATTTATAATAATAGTCACATGGGAAAAACTTTCATTTACACAGGAATGCAAACTTCAAAGAATTTGGGTCTTGGTAGAAGACTACCTTTTATACTAGTAGGAAATATGGGATTTTCTAGGGTTTTCACATTTATATCAACTGTTTCATCAACAATTGCATGTCTTTCATAACAACTTTCCAAAAATCAATGACACTAAAATACTTATGAATTCACCAGCTTTATGCTGACAAACTCTTTCAAAATAACTTGTATTCTCAGGTCACCAGTAGACAGGTACGATGACCAGGTTTTGAGAAGACGGAGCACAGACAAGACTCGTCTTTTATTTTGATTACAGATTTTGGTGTCTTATTACAATGAAAGAACACTCATGTATTAAAAATTTACTTTTAATGCAATGGATGATGTTGTTGCTTGTTTACTACTTTGCACTGTTATGATACTTTACATGACGTCATCCACCCCTGAACGTTTCCGCCGTTCTTGATTTTGGGGTCTGACAAAAAAGTCGCCGCTAATACTCATTGTCGCCGCTAATGATATTGTCGCCGCTAATGGTATGTGTCGCCGCTAATGCTCTAGTCGCCACTAATTCTCTATGTCGCCGCTAATAGCGTCGCCGCTATTTCCTTTTTTTATTTATTTTTTTTAAAAATCAGCCATTTTCGGGTGTCCAAAAAGTAATACATAAGAACGTTAAATCCAGAAAAACAGATACGTTAAAATGCAGAAAAACAATTACATAACATCTATGTTTTATAATACTATACATACACCAAAATAAATAACAAAATTCTTATAAATTTATGTCATACTACAATCTCTAATAAAAGATCAAACTAATACGATGTGTCATCATCCCCGCCACCCTCGTTCCCTCCTATAAGTTCCGCAATAGACTTCGGATCATTAGACATTGATGGAAGATTCTCCAACTACATAGTAAATAACAACATATAAACTTGTAAGTTAAAATATTAACATAAACCAAACCAAAAATTACCAAATGATAAGAAAACTACCAATTACCAATTTATCTATAAATCAACAAACTATAAAATTAACAAACCAACTAACTAACATTAACCTTCCAAGTTAGACTCCGGATCCTATTTGGTTTTTGTTTGTTTTTTCCATTATGACATTGTAGTTTACACATTGTATACAAATATACTCCAAATTGCATACAAATACACACGTACATACATTGTACACATATATACATACTTTTATACACATAAAACAACCATCAACACAATCCAAATTGCACACAAATACACACATACATACATTGTACACATATATACTTACTTTTTATACACATACATATATGAAATACACACATATTTCACACACATATATGAAATACACACACACACACATATATATATATATATATATTATATATATATATATATATATATATATATATATATATATACAAAATACACACACAAATGCAAACACATACAACAAATTACAAAAAATGCACCTGTGGTCCCCAAAATTTTGCCATCTTTTAACAGGTGGTGGTAGTCTTCGGTGCAACAATGGTGGTGGTGGTGTAACTTAAGACAACAAAAACCAACAAAAAAAACAATTAGGTCTGGAATTCTGGTCAAAAATGAAAGAGAAAGAGAGATGAGGGAAGAGGGAAGAAGGAACATACCGTAGCCGGTGACAGCAACACTCGATAGTAGCCTTGGTCACAATGGAGGAAAAATCTATGATGAAAATATTATGTGCAACTAATCACAAATACAAGTAGAAATCGATAGTAAAATAGAAGGAAAAGAAGAAATGAGGAACAAAAACACAAACCACAGAGGAAATCGACAGCAATAATGTCGAAATTAATGTCACAGTGGAATCATTGGAGATGTGGAAGTGGGGAGTTTCCAGTGGTCTATAGGCGTCGCTGGTATGTCTTCTATCCTCCGGGAAACTCGATTGAGCGAAAATGGTCGGAGAGAATGGATAAAAACGCAGACAAATGAAAGCTGTGAAAGCAGAAAGGGGGTGTTATTTGCGTCGACCTTTAGCGGCGACATCAATAGCGGCGACAATTAGCCTTTAGCGGCGACAAAAGCCAATAGCGGCGACAACTAACGAGGGAACTTATGCCGCGTTTTTTTTTCGACCTTTAGCAGCGACAATTTTCGAACTTTAGCGGCGACAAATTGTCGCCGGTATTGGTTTTGCGCGAAAACGAGGCCCCATCCGTTGGATTAGATACTCGATCGTACGGTTGAAGTTTACCAGAAGGGGATAACGCGGATTCGGGCAACAAGGCATTAGCAGCGACACAATTAGCGGCGACAGTGGCTTTTAGCGGCGACAAAGTGTTGTGTCGCCGCTAAAGCCTTAGTTTCTTGTAGTGAATCCAAAAACTAACATGTTGTATTAGAGATTTAGATTTAATCTAAAGATCCAAATTTAAATTGTATAATAATAAGCTACTATTTAATTAATTTTTTCATATCATAACTATTATCATATTTGTACTTCTAACCAAATAAGCATCTAATGTGTATCTACGAAATCACCAGACCGACGTGGTTTTGCATGAATCGGAACACAATGTCAGTGAATACTTATAAGTTAACCTTTACTAGTTACATGTAAGACCTTCAGAATATCATAACAAACGATGACATGCTATCATGGTAGAATGACATAAACAGTAGTAAATGTATTACGACTTTTGGTTTATTAATAAAAGCATATAAAATCCTTAAAAATGGTTCATCTTAATGAATTAATTTATGATCAAATAATAAATGTGTAGCATATTTGTTACATTAGACAATTTCAGAAAATATAGGGGGTTTTAACACACTAAAAAAATAATATTGGCCTTTTTTAAGGGTTTGATGAAAATAGGTTCGGTTTTTCTGAGGTTTGCCCTAAAATATATGCGTATTTGACGATTATGAAGAAACATATTGAAATGCAAAAGGAGAAGAGGATATCGAGTTTTCATGCGTTAATTAAACAATATTAAAAGAGTCGTGAAATATGGATAAGAACATAGTTACCTGCCATTTATGTGCTTCCCTTTTAAATCAGCAACTTCTCTAAGCGCATTATTCCATCGGTCAATCTTTTAAACAATATTATTCCGCCTCCATTATCTTTTTATGCTTAGTCATTGCATCTCCAAAGCTACCTTCTTGCTTCCTGACATGTGTGGGATCAACGTGATAAAATATAGGTATAAGAATATGGTTGGAGGTCATACGTTGCTCAAGGATCAACACCAATTCGTCCAGAGACCATGTGGAAGTAGCATAATTCTTGGACAACACGATAACAAAAGCCCTAGACGCTTTAATTGCACTCTCCAACTCTGGTTTCAGATCTTCCCCAATTTCAATCTCGTCATTATCCAAGAAGGTAGTGATATTGGCATCAATGAGGGCCTTATGAAGGTAAGTAGTGAAACTATTACGAGTGTCAAAACCTCTAAAACTTAAAAATACGTCATATCTATGACCATGAGTTGATGAAGAAGATGAAGCTCTTTCCGAAATTTCATGGAGAACAACCATTATGATTTATGGGTTATTGACCCTTCACCCTTCCCAATAACCTTGAAGCTTTTTTACCCATGCTTTCCTCACTTCTGGCTCAATCTCAATATCCCATGCAAGATGTCTCTACAAAAAACCAAAATTATTAATAAGTTAATAACTATGCAACTTATGTCTAATCAAACAATTTAAACCTCAACCATTATACCTTATTTTCTAAAAAAAAAAATAAAAAAAAATTAAGTGTTAAAATAACAAAACATATGCACCTCCAAACTTTTTATGTGAATTTAATATGCTTCGGAAATAAGAAACAAATTAAAAGAACCAACACATATACAGCTATGTATGGATATAGAATCACCATAACATTTAGATGGGAATTGTTTAAAAATCGGTACTTAGTTAATTTGATTGGTTGACCTGTTTTCCGGTTAAGTAACATGTCTGACCGAATAAGATATAAATTTCAGAGATGTAAAATTAAAAGCTAAACAAACACTTTGGATGGAAAAGATTCAAATCTGCCTCTTACTAAGAAGCAATAAGAGGTAAACAAACAGCCCCTAACTCACCATAGACATCCCTAAATATTTTCTAAGCAAATTTCATATAAAGTTCAGTTAAGTAATCCTCAAACAAATCAACATCATCCCACGAAAGGAACTGCAAAATATATTGGTAATTCCAGTTTTTTACTGTATATGAACAATCAATTAAAAGACCCAAACACAGTAAAAGATAAGTTTCTTTACATGGTTTTTTATCCCCTGGAATTAACAAAAGAACAATCTTTTGAAATGTGAAATTTTCTATCACTAAATCTAGTATAGAATACATCATCGTCAATTTTCCCTTCTGGTTGCAACTATGATCAATGTTGTAGGTGTTAAATCTACAAAGAAATTCCTTATCTATTTTGTAGCTCAAAACAATAATATAATTCAGCTTAGCAAATAAAGGAATGATTACTTTATGATCTCGGATCTAGCTTCTTCATTGTGTCTGTGAGGTTGAAAAAGGAAGTCAACGTTGAACTCTGTTCTATCCCAACTGAAATAATCGAAATTTCAATCCCTAATTAATGAAAAAGAAAATGATGATGATGTGATCTTTAATTAATAAGATATAATTACCTAACAACATGTGAATCTAACATGAAAGAATGTTCATTCACAGTTACCAGCCTACAGAGCTACAGCGATACCTGAAGCAGTGAGAATAGCAGACGATCTAACAGCGACGCGATCGAGAAGGACTTCGAGTGAAAAATCCAGAGCGAACAGCGCGAAGTTGGCCGTTATACGGCGAGTCAACGAGGAAGGAAGGGAGACAGCGACAGAGGTGAGACAGGATTTTGGGTTTTGTTCCACGATATTTCCTTTTTCAGTTTGATATTTGATTTTCTAGAGTAATTACACGAATGGTCCTTCTTGTTGTCAAAATATTATGGTCTTAGTCAAAAATATTATGGTTTTAGGTGGCTTCAATCTACTTATTGTTCTTTTTCTATAACATAAAATCATTAGGGTTCATGCAACACCTGTAATTTTGGGTAAATATTTTAATCCTTATTTGTAATTTTTTATAAAATTAAATTAAACTCTACATTTAGCTTATTAATAATAATTATTTACATTCCAAATTTAGTTAATTTTAATAACTATATTTAAAATTAACTAATATATGGGATGGAATTAAGGTCAAAAGCGATATGACTTTTGATTAATTCTAATTAACTAGACTTTAGACTTAAATTGTAAAGATGTTAACGTTAAAGAGTTATTAAAAGGTTATAATATTAAGGGTTTTAAATAGAATTGATACTGGAGTTGAACAAAAAATTAAAAAGTTGAGGGACCAAAGTTTCCAAATAGTGAAAGGTTGGATCTTGGACCCCTAATGTCACACCCCTCTAAAGCGGAAACACGAGGCGTCGCAGTATAAAGGGTTTCATAGCAAAAGTTAAAAGGCAACACCAACCATAGTATTAAAAATCATTACAAATTTACAATGGGTTTGAACAAATTTTAAAAGAAATTACAATGTAAATTGAAATACAACACATGTGAATGCTCCTAACAGTGATGTGTCCCTAAGTGCCACTTACTCGATGATTCCTGAAAAAGCATGTAAAACGAGCTTCAACTATAAAAATAGTTGGTGAGTACTTACAGATAAACAAAATAATATTGGTTCCATGAATTGAAATCAAAGTTTCGATAAAAGTTTCCAATAATAAAAGCATATTGTTAAAATGAGTAAATAAGTTTGTAAAAAAAACAAAGTTCTTTGTCATCATGAGAGATAAAGTATGTTGCCTAAATGAGATGCAACGTTCATATTCTGATGGAAGATAAAGTTCGTTACTCAAACGAGTAAACAAGTTTCATTGCTAAAATGAGCAATCAATTTCGTTGCTACAAGGAGCAAACAATTTTGTTACTAAAAGGAGCAACCAAGTTCGTTGCTAAAACAAGTAAATAAGTATTTAGTAACAAAAGTTCGTTGTTATAATAAGATACAAAGTTTATTGCTATAATAAGTAACGAGTTTGTATGTGTATGAGCAAACAATGAGTTCCCAACCAAGCCTATGACTGATGCCTTATCAAGATCTATGCTTATCGTTCTATAGATTATATGGTATCATGCACTCCAGCAATCGGGTGAATGAGGAGTTGTCAATTCCTAATAGCGCTATCCATTATGACCATTGGCTCAAAGAGTTAATGGTTGGAGTAAAGTATAAGGGAAGGGACTTAAGACGATAAGTTCTCATGTTTCATGTTGCATAGACATACATAGCAGAATATAGCAAATTATAGCAAAATATAGCAATCAAGTTTGATACAATTAAATTTAAATACAATGAATAATAAATAGGTTTTCGGACATGCTTTTCCACCCGAAAACATAAAAACCGAAAATAGGGGATGTCGTGAATACTCACAATATGCATTGAGATGATACAAATGGTGTATTGAACTACGCTCCACTCGTACTGCTATCGTTTTCCTACAACAATGTTACACACTAATAAGTCTCTAATTGAAATCTAATACTAGTATACTTACTACTACAATAGAATTATGCCAATAATGTGTCAAAATTTAATATTGTTAAGTTACAAACATTTTTATGAAATGGTGAAATTTTACAGCTCGTGTGATTAAGACAATTTTGGATATTAATTTCCAGATTTTTGTAATATTAATTGAGGGTATTTCAACACATTTAAATGTGTTTTAAGCTCTTAAAAAGCCAAAATATTATCAGACAGTTTCCAAAAATTCTCAAATTTTTCATTTTCTTTCTAAACACAGTAGAGATCTTCCATAATTTTCCTTTGAATTTTTGATATGATTAACTATTTTTCCAAAATTTTAAGCCTTCATAACACTATAAATTCGTGAAAAATAGCATCCAAATGATAAAAATTCCCAAACTTTTAATGATATCGCCATTAGACATACTTAAGCTGAGAAAAATATAAAAATGGATTTGTAAACTGTTAACCCAATTTTATGATTTTTGTGCATTTATTCTAATAAAAATTGAAATAAATAGAAAACAGTTTCCAAAATTGCCCAAACTTTTTGTATTACTGTTATTGAACATTCGTAAGCTGGGAAAAATATAAAAATAGATTTCTAAACTGTTTAACCCGATTTTATGATTTTTGTTCATTTATTATAATAAAAATTGAAATAAATAGAAAACTGTTTCCAAAATTGCCCAAACTTTTTGTAACATTGTTATTATACATGTAGAAGCTGTGAAAAATATAAAAGATATTTTTCAACTAGTCTTTCTATTTTTCATTGTTTTATCCTCTTAAATAATCATTAATTGGAGAATAATTATTAAACAGTTAAAGTAAATTACCAAAAAAAAATTGAACTTCATTTACAGTGTAAATAATCTGAGAAACATACCAAAGGTGGTTTTTATCTATTGGAATCCGATTTTGTGGATTTAAGTGTATTTAATCTTAGAAAATAGGAGCAAAAATAGTATACTAAATAGAAAAATCATCAAAATTTTTATTTAGAGTTCTAATATATTGTAAGGTCTTCTGGTAAATTTTCATGAAATTTTGGATGAGTACAAATATTTTTCCCATTATTAGTCCATTATAAATACAAAAATCTGGGAAAAATAGGAATGCATTATGAAAAATTCTGAAAATATTTTTCTGAGTACTCCACATTAGGTAGGATCTGCGAAAAATCGTATATAGCCTTTTCACATTCCTTAAAATGGTTTTATGATTTATTTGAATTAAACAAAAAGAAAGTTCAAAACCATAGCAAATAGTAACAAATATCGATGAAACTCACTGAGATGTCATCATTCACTTTAGGGGTCATCCATAAATTTACTTAAGATTTATAGACCTCAGAAAGTATTTTATATGAATTATTGCCCTATTTCCTTGCAATAATTATAATAATTTGAGAAAAACGAATTATTTTCTGAAAATTTGTAGAACAACTCATTTTATTGATGGAATTCTGGGAAAAACCGGATTTGATCAGAAAATAAGTTTTAGATATTTATTTGGGAATAAATCCTTTATGAACCTATTTGAATGCTTTTTAACAACAAACTTTGATGATCAAGCCTCTAAGCTTGAAGATCATCACATGCATGTTGGTTTTTGAGTGAAATACTACCTCCAACATCATAAAAATCGTGGTTATGAACATATGGGTCATAATCCATCCATAGAATGTTGTAGAAGAAAAAGATATGTAAGAAAACTTGAGATTTGGAAGGAAGATTGAAGGATTTTCGTGATTACCTTGAAGAACAACCCTAGATGATGAAGATTTAGAGTTTAAGGTGTGTTTTTGGCTTCATTTTCTGGAAAAATTTCGTGGTTATAGAGAGGGGAAGAGAGAAAATGGAGTTGGTGTTAGAGAGTGTGTGAGAGAGAAATTAGAGAGATGAGGGAAGAGTGTAGATTTGCATAAAGTGATTACTTGTTTTGGGAATCAAAATTTTGAGATATGAGAGACGGTGGACGAATTTTGAGGGTATAATGCCCTCCATCTCTTTTACTTTTATAAAAATTTCAATTCTTTTATAAAAATATGAAGCTATTTATAAAATATACAGCCTAATCAAGTTTGTATTCATGAAACCTTGATTTTTGACTTATAAATTAAGGGTAAATGTTAATAACTTAATTTTTGTTTTCCTCGAATTTTGACGGTTGTTACACCTAAACCCTATCTCCCCTTCAACTTAGTTAACTAGGAGAGATGATATCTGATTTTTGAAAAGTAAATTTGAAGTATAGAAGTAGAATTGAAGTTCTTGTGGTGTTCCACCACTAATCCATCAATTGAGCTACTAAGGTAGTTAAGTTAGTCACCTCTTTCTCATTTAGGCTTCCAAACTTATGAAATCTTATCATATTCTAATTCTATGATAAAATTATTAAATAGTTCAAGTTTAGTGTTGAATTCTAAGATTTTAAAACTAATCTAATGAGATAAGTGCATCTCGTAAGTCAAGATTGAGTTTACGAAGCTTCATCGGTGGGTTTCAAACCCTAATTTCATGAAATCATCCATTGATAATTTGCAGTTTGATTTTAAGCATGGAATAAGATTAATATTATGAATCAAATGTAATTTTATTAAATCCAAATCATGTTGAAACCTTTAATTAAATGAAATTTCGATTTATAAAGTATTAATATGGTTTTGAGTAATTAGTTAAAGTTAGATTTTTCAAATTACACACTAATTGTGTTGGATTAGGGTGTATAAGGTCTTAACTAAATTGATATATTAAGTGAATAATAGTAAAGTCCTTTTTGAGGGGCCCACATAACTGGGAAATGGTCTGGATTTATATTAAGTGAGAGATATAATTTGTTAGTATATTATGGGATTAATATATTAACTAGAAATGGAAATAATTAATTAAGAATTAATTAGAGTTAATTTAATTAATTGTTTTAGATTAATTAGAATTAATTAATGGTTGTAAGGGTTAGAATGTAACCACCTAAAAGTTGAATTGTGAATCATTCTAGAACCTCCCCAGGAGGGGACAGTTATGGAGTCCTTTTCTGGGGCTTCTGAAAGCCTCCTTGGTTGATAACAAAAGTGAATTTGAATTGCAGTATAATATTATTATTTTG